TCCACGCTCACCCTCCGCAGGCTGCAGAGCAGGGGAAGAACTGGTGAAAATATCCGACCTGTACCCCCAGGACATCAACGCCATGCAGATATCCTTTGCTGCGCTATGGGCTGGCTCCGGCGGCTTGGCGGGTGGATTCAGAGCCACCCATGGCGGCGGAGGGGCAGGGGGGCGATGGCAGAGCTGCGATTTAAACAACAGACCTGCGGGTGGCCGTTGCGCTTTGCTACTGCTACAGCTACTCAGCAGAGCTGGAGCATATCCAGACATCACCGGCCACGGTACAGCAGGCTGCGAGCTCCACGCGTGGCACGTTTCTCACGTGTCGTGGCATCCCCCTGCCTATTTTTCTCCTTTACGGGCCCTGCACAGATTCCAGGTGGAGGAGACGGTGCTGGATAAGCTGAAGATCACCTTTGAAAACAGCACTGACTTCTTTGGGAGGATCGTGGTGTACCACCTCGGGGTGCTGGGGGAGAGGCTCTAGGGCAGCATGGGGGGCTGCTCCCCCATCACCTGCGTTCCCCCACGGGGACTCGGCTGCGTGGGGGGAAACGGGACAGCAAACCCTGCCAGCGGGGATGTGCTGTCCCCAATTGCACCCCAAGGCGCTGAGAGCCGATCCCCGCCCCCCAGGATGGCAGTGACAGAGGGACACTAGTGCAGAGCTCCATGTGCTGGACTTCAAGCCGTTGGCAGGACACAGCCTGTGTAACCGGCCGAATAAACGGTGTCCCCGCTCCTTCCTGGCTGCTCCTTGGGCAAGTGGCACCCCGGGACTGAACCTCTGGGGTTTGCCATGGCCATGCCAATGTGTGACTTGAGCTGGAGAGAGGAGAAGTGCCACTTCTGTGGGCTCTACCTGTCTCTCGCCTTTGCTAACCACCCCTGAACTTTCTTGGAGTGGCTTTTTGCGGCCTCACGGGGCTCCGGCTTGGAATTGCAATGTGCCGGCTGTCGGCCAGGGCCATGCTGTGTTCCTGGCTGGCAGGGTGATGCTTCCTGCGGAGTTTTGCTCCTGCCTTATGGATATTTCCCTGGCTGGTTGTAATGCTGCATGCAGGGAGGGCTTGGCAAGTTTATGGGCGTAAGAGGGAGCTTCCCTCTTCACAAAGACAGCTCTGGAGAGGAATACCAGGGCACTGGGAGGATGCAGGCCTTGAAGAGGTTGCCCCAGTTCCCCTCATGGTTCCCCAGTAGCTGGTGCTGGGATCGGCAGCTGAGACAGGCTGAGGCAATGGACAGGGCTCCACACAGCTGCTTTAGAGTTTACTTCCAATAATGCAATACCTGAATGCACAAACGCACGAAGCAGCCGAGCCCGGACAGGACAGAAATGCAGCTGCCCTGAGGAATGAGTGTCCTTGGGTGTGAGGCACTGTGGCCATGCCGACCTCCGGGAGAGGCAGAAATCCACCGAGGGCGGGCAGTTCCTGGCTTCCTCCACGTGCTCCTCGCTTGAAGCATCGTGCCGCTGCCCGTTTCGGGACGGCTGGGTGAGGCCGCGTTGGTCCCAGAGGAGAGCCCTGCGTCAGCCGGGAGAAGCGCTGCTGCCACGGCAGTGCAACGCGAGCCACCGCGTCACTCCAGCTCCTTTTTCTGAAATAGCTTGAGGATGTGATTTTCGATAACCTGTTGGACTAACAGAAGGGAGAGATGTGAAACCCAAAGCCAAGCCTGTGCGAAGCCAGTACTGCTGTGGGCAGGACCTGGTCACCATCTTGCTCCCATTTTCCAGTGGGAAGCTGGAAAAACCCCTTTCTCCAGGGGCTTGTCCCCATCTCCCTGTCCCAGCCCTATCTCCAGCACAGCTCTGCTTTGGAGGGGGAGCAAAGGGGAACAGGACCCATCTTGATTTCTCTGGCTCAGTTTCTCTGCGTGGCAAAGCAGGGAGCTGTGGTGGAAGGTCAAAAAAAGCCCCCAACAAGGCTGGAAGCTGGGAATTGCCTGGAGGCTTTTCAGGGAGGGAAGGCAGGGCTCGCTGCCAGGCACAGAGGGGACACTTGCCTTTCTTGTGTCCCAGGGCCACGGCCAGATCCATCGGGGTGTAGCCAGAATCTGCCTCTGTCGTCAGGTCAGCGCCGCGAGCTGCAAGCAGGCAGTGAAGATCAGGGCATGGCGCTCCCCTGCCGACATGGCGTCCCCTCCGGGTCAGGCACAGGGTGAAGGGACCCCCAAAAGGTGCCCGTCCTGGCTGGGCAGCCCCCCGTGACACCCCCAGGCTGCTCAGTGTCTCCCCCCAAGGCGTGTCGCGCTCTCTCCCCGAGGCGGTTACCAACGAGCAGCGATTCGAGGCCAAGGACTAAGCGCGGATCTTCCCCGTTACCTAGTAGGGCCTCGACACACTTGACGTGATTGCCGCGCACGGCGTAGAGCAGAGGAGTGCCGCCGTTCTGCAGGGAAAGGGAAGGGGCTGTGTCATTGCCGGCCTCATGCGGGGCCATGCTCACGCAGCTCCTGCTTCTCCCGGACCTGCTGGGATCCCCTTTCCGCCCTCTCCCACCTCTGGGCTGGGCGTTTTCTAGCGGTTCTGCACAGGTTTTATTCTCTGTATGCAATACAGTAACTTTTAAATTGTGTAATTTTAAAGACAACCTTAGGTTCTGAGCGCTGTTTCCTTGTGGCTGGTAACATCATCAGTGTGAACAACTGAAGAAACCATTTAAAATTATTATCCAGATTAATTTCTTGAAACAACTGCATGACCAGGCAAACGAGTGCTGTGAGCCTGGGAAGCATCTAGGAGAAAGGCACTGCTGCTCACTCAACCCAGAACGATGTGAACTCGCTACTGCTTTTTAAAAAGAGCTTTGCAGACCCCTGTCCGGGGCTTGGTGTTGCTCCCAGCGCTGGCACGGCCCCCGCAGCAGCCTGCACCCGGCGGCACTCACCCAGTCGTAGATGTTGATGTCCACGTTCCTCTCCAGCAGCATGACGACGATGTCGGTGTAGCCGCCCATGCTGGCCAGGGACAGGGCGCTCTCCCGCTCCTTCGCCAGCGCGTGGGGGTCGGCGCCCTGGGGACGGCACAGGTGTCAGCCCCGCTGGGCGGAGGAGCCCTGCTGAGACCTGGGGCGCTCAGCCTTGCTGGGTACCCCAGGGGGGCTGATCGTGGAGCCAGGTTCCGACAAACTCTCGGGGCAGAGACAGCTCACGCGTTGCCAGTGACCTCTCCTTAGCAAAGTCCTTACTGGGCATATTTTAATCATCATCAGACATCTCAGGTGAGGACTTAAAAGCCCTTCTCCAGTGTCAGTAAAGTAAGCCTTCCTGTTACTTAGCCCTTTTTCCCATCACTAGGAACAGCTTTACTGGCCCTGTCTAGATGCCTGTAGAGTATCCACCATCTCTTTCGTTACTGATTTACGTAGAAAACCCCTCTGTCCTCCGAGCCCTGCCAGCCACAGACCTCTCCTGGTCTTCGTTATATCCTTTATCAATGTATCACCTCATTTATTTTGGGTTCTGTCTCTCTGGTAACGCACTGCAGATTTGCTGCTATTACACTAACAGAGACAGGAGTTGGTCCGGTGCTTATGAGGTGTGAGTGCTTGCTAATTGTTGGATACATGGGGATGTGGGACTGAGCTTTGGGGAGCAGCTTGATCCAGAGTGCAGGAGGATCTGGTTCCTGCTCACCCCCAGACACTCTTCGACTGCAACCCAGCACTCAAGGACGATGCAGCAACGAGTTCATTAACTGCAACGATACCTTGGTGAGCACATTTGCTGGCAGATTACAGGGCCCAAGTGATAAGCCTGATCTCAAATTACCAATAAGCAGATATTTAATTACAAACAGTTATTGCTAGCTGTGAGATAAGGCTCTTCATGCTCCCGACTTAGCTCACAGCCCAATGGGGAGTAGCATCCGTCAGCATCTGAGCCGTTAGCTCTGCAAACACGTTCTGTTTGGTGCCATGGGAAAGGTTGGCTGAGATGGTACCAGGATGGTACTGGACAATTTGGTAGCCCCTGGGGTTGGAGATGGGAAGTCTCCTGTTAACGAGGTGCTGTACGAGCATGGCCTTACCCATTCCAGCAGGTGACGGACCGTTTCGATCTCTCCAAAGGCTGCAGCCCAGATCAGTGGCGTGAAACCTCTCTCATCAGGTTTATTTACCAAGTTCTCGCCTGCACAAACATGGATGACATCATAAACAGGAAGGGTAAAGCCCCTCTGCTCTATGTCCCCCCAGGAAATCCAACAACAGCTGCAAAACTAAGCCAAGGGTTTATCAAAAGGCGATCTGGCAGGACTCTGCATGAAATGGGGTAAGAACCCAAAGGAAGAGACCTGTACCTTTCCGAAGGTGCTCTTTCAGCTGGCTCAGCTCTCCTTGGGCAGCAAGCTGGTGGATAGACAACGCTGGGGGATAGAAAGAATTCATCTATCAGGATAAACTTTCCCCAGCTTAGCACCCACCATCTGCAGGTGGGTCCCTGCAAGTCTAGGGAGGCAGTGATGGGACAGCCCGCGTCTTAGCCTCAAAAAACCCAGTGGGTAACTGAGATACGGCATCAGGGACAGCCAGACACAGCGAGTGCTGAGAGCAGCAGCACTGCAGGGAGCAGCCTGAGAGACTGCTCCGGTGGACACTGAACAGCGTGGCAGCAGGAGACAGAGGGAGGCTTCCGTCCCGCTGTCCCTCTGCTCCCGCTACACCCCGCATCCATCTGCGGTCTGCGATGCGCAGCCTGCGCTGCCCGGCGGTACTCACTGTCTAGCGTGGCTGGGAGAGCTGAGACCTCGTTGCCTCGCTGCCTGTTCGTCAGCGTGTTCGAGTGCTTCAGGGGGAAGCCTGTTCCAGAGAGAGGAGGGAGTCAGGGCACATCTCCTCCGTACACTGACTTGAGGCCAAGAGCTTCATGAAAGCTCGGGTCTCATACATCTGATCTGAAGCTGTTCCCTCCCATCCCTGGCAAAAATGGAGTCCTGCAAAAAAAGGAATTATTCCCTTGCAAGTAAAGAGCCTGGAGACTGAGGTCTGACCAGTGTGCAGGGACCAACAGCTGACAGGGAAGATAAGCCAGCCCGAAGAGCTGCCCAAGGACGGGCAGGGTCCATCTGGGGTGCTGTGGGAGGCAGGGGTCTGGCATTAATGGCAGAATTGCACACGATATACTGCAGAGATATACTGAGGCGCACACAAGTTCATCCTCATATTTCCTGCCCTTGAAGAGCTCCACTTGGAAATAATGTGTTTAATTAGGAAAGTATATGGAAAGAGGTTGCCATCTCTGGTTCCACTGCACAGAGCTGCAGCGACCTCTCACTGCTGGCAGAGTCATCGGCAAGGTCTGGATTTGGACTTGGCCTTGCCATGTCATGGGAGGGACTGGCAGCAATAAAAGACTTTTTTCTAGCTGTCTTTGTGGGAGGAGAGACCCAGATGACCTCTCCCACGCCTGTCTCCCACTGGGGCTGTGCCTGAGCATCTGTGAGCACCGGGCTCTGCAACACTCACTGTCAAGGGCCAAGAGCTCGGTGCTCCTCTGCCTGTCCATCGAGGCAGTCGAGGACTTTGGGAGAGGGTCTGCTCCACCTACAAAACAAGGGCAGCCATTAGGGACCTCAGTTTCGCTTGCTGGGGAGCAGGCTGGGCTCCACGTGCAGCACAACAAGATCCAACCGGCACAGCAAGCACCCCACGTGCACCCCGACCCCAAGTTGATCCCACCACCCCATCACCCCCAGCACTCACCGTCCCTGTGGTCCAAGCGTGGCGTGTGCTGGTCCGGCCGCAGACACCCCAGGAGGGCACCGCTGTCCCCCGTGTCCCTGGTCGGAGCCAGCTCCTCTGCTGCTGCTGCTCGGTCGGCTCCATTTTCACCCTCTTTCGAGAGCTCCTGGGCATCCCCATCGTTTGGGGGGGTCT